CGAGATAACTATGGTAATTATTCTCCTTGCACTAATTGACAATGTTTGTCATCTCTGTTCCTTTTTCTTTGGTTGTGCTTAAACAAGAGGCTATTAAGAATTAAACATGATTTTCATTTATTTTATATTACCTATGCACCGTTCAGGTATAAGAACTTTAGTGTATGGTTACAGGGTGGCATGTCAAATGAGCTTTACAACACAATTGCACGTGTCACAGATGGAATTTATGAAGGTGCTGTTTGCTGTTCTTTCAAGTTCAATATACCTTATTTTTCGCAATCTTGATCTTAGTCCTGGATGTTAAATGCAATTTCCAGGCATTGCAATTGGAGGAGATGTTTTCCCTGGTTCAACTCTTTCTGATCACGTGCTGCGGTTTAACAACATCCCTCAGGTAATTCCTTACGAATTTAGTTTCCTCAAATAATATAGAATAGCTCTTCAGTAAACTAGATCATTAATGCAATCTCTGGTCAAAATGTCATGTGACACAGTGTTAGAAATAATTGTATACCATATTGTAGATTCTACAGTAATACAAGCATCATCAGCAACAACAACAAGCTGTAATGTCCCAGCTTTAGTAATATGAGTATTTTAATAATTGTTAATGCATGTTTCCTTGATATTTGTTTTTCTTCAATATTGCTTCTGGATCTAATCAGGTCAAAATGATGGTTGTGCTGGGGGAATTGGGTGGGAGAGATGAGTACTCCCTAGTTGAGGCCCTAAAAGAAGGAAAAGTTCATAAACCAGTTGTCGCTTGGGTTAGTGGAACCTGTGCACGCCTGTTCAAGTCAGAAGTGCAATTTGGTCATGCTGTGAGTCATAAATGATCGTTTAGTCTTTGTTATATGATTATAACCGGTTATGGTGCTCATTACTAAGGTGTTCTCTCATCCTTTGCTGAATTCAATAATCTAGGGTGCAAAAAGTGGTGGTGAGTTGGAATCAGCACAAGCCAAAAATCAGGCTCTAAGAGAAGCTGGGGCAGTTGTTCCTACTTCATATGAAGCATTTGAGACTGCAATTAAAGAAACCTTTGAGAAACTGGTACCTTATTGTGCTTCAATTCTTTCTGTGATACTAATTGATGCCATTTTGTGCATTGGAGAAGATTGGCTTATACTGGTTAGATTGTTTTAGCAAGGAGAACCATCAAAAGTGAACCTTCTATTACTGTTTTCTTATATTTTATTGGATAGGTTGAAGAAGGGAAGATTGCTCCTGTACCTGAAGTTGAACCTCCTCAAATTCCTGAGGATCTTAAATCTGCGATCAAAAGTGGGAAAGTCCGGGCTCCAACTCATATTATCTCCACCATTTCAGATGACAGAGGTTTGATTAATGAATTTGGTTTATATTTTCCATACAGATTGCATCTTTTAATGCCCAGTAATTTTCTGATTCTCATGCCCATGTACAGGTGATGAACCATGTTATGCTGGTGTACCCATGTCTACTATTATCCAACGTGGTTATGGTGTGGGTGATGTTATCTCTCTTTTATGGTTCAAGCGTAGTCTTCCACGTTATTGCACACAATTTATTGAGGTTTGTCAAGATACAATTTTCCATTATTTGTGCTAACCAAGTCTTCTTTCAATGTTTTATATATTTTGATAAGTTTGACTGTATAAGATGTTCACTGGATTTAAAACCCAATTTAGTTCTTTCTTGGTATCGATAGACTTTTGATCTCACTCTTTGGAGCTTTCTGCGATTGTCAGATCTGTGTCATGTTATGTGCTGACCATGGTCCTTGCGTTTCTGGTGCTCATAACACTATCGTTACCGCAAGAGCTGGAAAAGATTTAGTTTCGAGTCTGGTTTCAGGTGAGTTTTGTAAGTTAATGGTGCATATTGCCATATGATTATTATCTCATGTTAATAGTCTTATTGACACCTTTGCTTATGGTCATTGGAATGGGAAATAACTTTTAAAATACAGGGTTGCTCACAATCGGTCCTCGATTTGGTGGTGCAATAGACGATGCCGCTCGATACTTTAAAGATGCATGTGACAGAGTGAGTGTATATAGTTAGCGTCTAGATTTTCTATTAACAACCCTGATGGTTTGTTTCAATTTATGGTATCACTGAAACATCTGCAACTTATTTTGCCAGGGCCTCACACCTTATGAATTTGTTGAAGGTATGAAAAAGAAGGGCATTCGTGTACCAGGAATAGGACACAGGTATATGTTAGAAAACAAGTGGCATCTAAGCTTCTAATAATTTGTCTGCAAATCTATCAGTAGAATTTTTGCTGTTAACTGAAGCTCATATTGTTTTACTTGGTTACAAGTACTTGTGCCACTGCCAGATGCATATTTTGACGAACTGCTTTTCTATTTGCAATAGTTGAACAAATACACTATCAGATGATTATACATTGAGAATTTATTTGAACATCACTGTAAAATAGCTTGTCCAGCTAATGAAGTGCATGGAGCATCTTCCTCTTTTTATTACCCTTATAAATACCATTTGCATTGATGAATAGGGTACATAATGCCTTAAGCATCATCGTCGCATATGGAACTGTTGACAATATTGCAGATCATGTCAAGTGATTCTGATAATGATTCTTATGGCATCTAATACCTGCTAACTACTTAATTACATTCAATGGAGGGTTTGACTAATCCACTATCCAAATTACAGAATCATATTACATTTGGCTGATTCATATTGCTATGGAATAAAATCTTCAAATACTAATATAAAGTTGGAAAGATTTAAGTACTAGGAAGTATTCCATGGAATTCATTTCAAGTTCTTTACAGGACAACCGTCATGTAACTCGTTGATTTGTCATTTAGGGTTAATCTCAGTTAGGATAAATAAAAATTTGCGAGACAATTGTCGTAAGAACTAGAGAATGAGTTTTGTAGTCTGGAGACAATTGTCGTAGGAACTAGAGAATGAGTTTTGTAGTCTGTAAGAATTACATAAAAGCTGCTGGAGCAAAATTTATGATTGATGATATCATGATGGAAATGGTATGCAATCTTGTTAAATTGTAAACTATTATATGATGGAGTCCAAGAAATTGCAAATCGAGTATTACAATCAGTATCACCTGAATCAATTTTCTAGTTATGTATGAAATAATTGCATGGTACACTGCAAACTTGTCTGTAAAGATTTCACTCTGTAGGCAGAGATATTAGATCACATTACGCAAATAATAAATTAATTAATTATGTAATAATAATTATGACCACTTAACTTTGTTTAGAAAGTTGGTGTCTATTTCAGAAATTTTGCATGTCGTTTTTGCTCTACATCATGCATTACATTAAGTTTTTTCTTTCCATTTTAGATTCAGTTGAAGAATATTATTGTTCCATCTACATAAATTTCAACTAAAGTTGCTTTTCTGGGAAAGCAACAGATAGTGTGTAACAAAAAAAGGATCTCCTATCTTCAGGCTTCTTGCATGAATGTCTGTCTTGGTGCTGGATACTTCATTATACTAAGATCGTGTCGTGCTGGTTTTCCGAAAAGGAAAAAGATCTTAACAAGTATTTTGTCTAGCGAATATGCTTTACATTTCCACCAGTTTTCTTACCCACCTGAGACTTTTGTTTATGTTTACCAATCAATATTTCTTTTTGGTAATAGGATCAAGAGCAGAGACAACAGGGATAAGAGAGTGGAGCTTTTGCAACAGTATGCTCACACTCATTTCCCATCTGTAAAGTACATGGGATATGCCGTTCAAGTTGAGGCGTACACTCTCTCAAAGGCAAACAACTTGGTGCTGAATGTTGATGGTGCAATCGGATCTCTTTTCTTGGATCTTTTAGCTGGCAGCGGAATGTTTAGCAAACAAGAAATCGATGAGATCGTTGAGATTGGATATCTAAATGGTCTCTTTGTGTTGGCACGCTCAATTGGTCTGATCGGGTAAGTTGGTACAACCATTCAAGTTTCTTCTCGTTTGTCCCAATTCTTCACCCCTGCTGTTCCATTTACTTTGATGAAGCTTAAGTTTATGAATCCAATAAAGCCACTAATGCTGAAATGAGTAACCAAAGAATATGGATTTTACAAATTTCTTTTTACGGAAGTCAGCTGCTTGAACAATAACCCATCTTTAAAGTGTTACAGTGAGTGCATACAAGATAGAACTGTTGCCGATAAATGAATCCATTTCACTGATTAGTGTGCTTAATTAATGGGTTGCTTCTGCATGATGTTTATAATATATATGTCAGTTAGCATACACTATACCTCTTATTCAAAGGAGCTGTTCTTCTCTATTTACCAAGTTTTGATAGAATACTCGCTTCCTAATTGATTGAATTCTTTAATGTTTGATCTCAGGCATACTTTCGATCAGAAAAGGCTGAAGCAACCACTCTACCGTCACCCGTGGGAAGATGTTCTGTACACCAAATGATCTCATCTTTCGGCTTGATAACACATCAGCATTTTCTTTTTTTTTCTGGTCAATTTTGCTTCTTGGCATGATCTTCTCATTCTCCTGAGCCCTACGCTCTGGTGTTTTTCGAACATTGAGGACTGACCGAGGACCCAAAGTGCTTGTCTTTAATCATTTATTCGGTTCAGCTAACATGCTTGCATGCATAATCATACACGTTCTACCGGTGGGTTCAAGCATATCCAATAGATAATCGAATATTATTGATTGCTTTTGTTTTCTGGGAGCAATAAATCGAAAGAGCAATTAGGTTCAACTCGAACATACGAGTTGATTGATGATGCTTTTTTTTTATTCCTTTCCAAAACTGCATGAACTGTTCAAATACTTACCTGAACTGTTCAAGCTTTGCTATCGACAAATTGTAGTCAGAACTTACTATGCTATCGATCAACAGTCAACATCTTTACTAATCAAAAGGAAAACAGTATCTCTACAACACCAACAGAACACAACCAGACAACAAACATGCTATTTATTATTATGGACGGATGTGCACCTAACTCGGACCTCAGAACGCCTCTTCCCTTAGTACTGGGGCTGTTCACTGAGCCATCCTTATGGATGTAGGAAATGTCACGCCTTGAATGTAGCAACCTTTGAAGTAGTGTCTTCCGAACAAATCAGCGAGAGTGTCCTGATACCCGATGAAGCTGCATGAGTATAGTGACGACTTGTCTCCTGATATCATCGCCGCCACCGCTTGCTTCATGTGGCTGTATCCGTCGTATTTGTTCTGCACCAAAGATCGAATCATATAGACTTGTGCCTCTCGCATGCATGCAGGCCTACGCGTGAACCTTTTGTTCGTGCGGCACAGCAGCACAGTAATGTGTATAGACTAGGAAGCGCAACAGCGAACGAGACCTTGAAGGTTATCCCTGCAACAACAATGTTCGAAGCATAAGACGTGACCGTTCCGCTGCTGGTGGTGTCGTGGCCGCCGGAGTCGCTGGCGTAATCGCCCCACTCGATCGACGTCTTCTGCGCTCCCTCTCCTTCGAGTAGAATGTAGCTCTTGTAAGCGCTTATCACCACCTTCTCCCTGCACAACCCCCACCCCCCCCCTCCCCCCCCCCCACTCCCATCAACCGAAGAACTAGTACTCCTAATGCTACACCCCCATGCAGCAGCAACAGTGACGATCGAACCTGTAAACTCCTGAAGCGAGGTGGATCTTTATCCACTGGTTGTTGAAGTCGGGGACGGAGTTGATCGCCACCTGGATGCTTCTGAAATCCCCGGTGCCGCTAGGGTTGACGACGATGGTCTTCGCGATGGACGCAATTCCAGTCGCTACGGGCACGTGCAAAGACGTAGACAGGACGGTGATGAGGAAGAAGAAGAAGAAGAACAGACACTTCATTTTGAGCACAGGAGATCACAGAGAGAGCAAAGCGGACCTCGCTTGTCTACAGTGAAGGAGGAAGGAGACACGTATATACAAAACCCTATATAGCTAAGAGGAGGAGATATATGATGTGAATGGAAATACGTATATGTACAGAAATTGACGATGCTGATGGAAGAATCCGATCGTATAAATCTTTGTGTTGGTCTCCTTCTTGATTTGATATTTACAGTCAAGTGAGCCAATAATATAACACTTTAAATAGTATCTTTTGATCAATATAAGCGTATTTAGAGTAAGCTTACTGATTAGAATTATTGTGTCCGAATCCCGCATTAGTGAGAGTTTCGTACACTTAAGGATAATTATCGTGTCCAAATTGATAGAAGATAAGATTTCCTTAATTATATAAGGAAATCTCTCTATTCTGTTGAGGGAAATCTTTTAAGGAAAATCCTTCCTCCTAATCTGTATAAATAGGAGAGGAAACATGTTAATGTATTGAAGTATTTTTCATTTATTCAATAAAGCTTCTTCAATCATGGTATCAGAGCAATAACAATCGCAATAGCAATAGAAATCGCAATAGCAACAACGGCAACAGTAATATATTCTTGTCCTACTCATGAAGTCTCTACTCATTAAGGCTCTTGCCCTACGACATTTTTCTCGATGCCTGAAAATTAATTGTTACTTTTTATATATATATATATATACACACGTCAATAAAAGAAAGTGAAAGTGAAGAGAAGACTTCTCCACGTATTGTCGTACCCATACGCTGACACAAAAGCCAATGCCTTGTGGACACCACCGTTGGCCCCATATTTTTTGCCAGTAGTCAGACAAATACGTTTCGGGTACGTAACAGAAAGGGTAAGTGAAGGAACACACGTATGTGATACCCATAAGCTACCGTGTTCTGATATATCTCGTTAAAGCAGCCGCCGCTCCGTTTGACCGTCGGATCCCATCCGTCCGTGATATGGAGGCCGCGCCACCGGCGGAGCTCATCGTCGTCGAGCGCGACCCCACGGGCGTCGCCGTTATTACCATCAATCGCCCCAGCTCTCTCAACTCGCTCACACGCCCGATGATGGTATTGCTCGCCGCCGCCATCAGTCGGCTCGACGCCGACCCGGCGGTGGGCGCGCTGGTGATCACCGGGAGGGGCCGGGCCTTCTGCTCCGGCGTCGATCTCACGGCCGCCGAGGAGGTGTTCAAGGGCGATGTCAAGGACGTGGACGCCAACCCCGTGGCCCAGATGGAGCGCTGCCGCAAGCCCATAATCGGGGCGGTGAACGGCTTCGCCGTTACCGCCGGTTTCGAGATCGCCCTCGCCTGCGACATCCTCGTCGCCGGGAAGGACGCCAAGTTCATTGACACCCACACCAGGTAACCGGCGGTTGTGCATCTTGGTCTTTGGTATGAGGGTTTAACTGAAAGCTAGCATTTTTAGACGGATTTCCGAGCTAATAGGTAGAGAAGTCATGTCGAATAGATCTAAAAAATGGTGCTTTTTAATTGTTGTGTCGGCCCCCTTAGTTGAAGGTAAAAGGGAGAAGGCGAAGACGACGACTAATAATGTCATGTACATCCGCGCTAGGTTGTTCTATTTTCTGATCTTGATGAAAATGCCTAATTTCAAATCTAATGGAACCATTGAATGATGTCCTAACCCCTGATGATTAATCTCCCATGGTCCGTCCGTGCATGTTGATGAGGATATGATTCCCCCTGCTAAGGCAAATATGCGAATCGGTCAGCTACTTCTGATTCATTCTTCAATACATGGCTACTGTTACACCTGAAATCTTGTTTTATATACCATTTTGCATTTTCGATGAGGACTCCCATTGCTTTGAGCACTTTTTGGGCACCAACTTGAAGACTTCGGATAGAGTGTTGAGTTGAGGTCTTTGAGAGAAGGTTATTGGTGCGATGATGTTAGCGAAGCTTAAGGGGGTACTATGAGTGTTTGGTAGGAGAGATAATTGTAGAGATACATGTTAGCAAAGCTCAACCAGTCTGTCGAACTTATTGCTGAAAATTGGTCAAAAGCTGCTTGACTCTTCTAGCCTCAGCTGGTCCAGTCTTTAGTTGGCTTATTATGGTCAATTTCGACCAATTTGTCAGTCTCCAAATAAGAAAAAAAGAAGAGGAGATGATCCATTTGAAACAAATATGTCGTATGTTCTCAATTCACCATCACAATTGTCATATGTCCACATCAATGCTCTCGAAATTTTATCAAATTTATATGTATGTCTGTCCATGCAAGTCCCCTGATTAATCTTTTACCAACCTTGATTGTTTCCCTAGTTTATTTAATTGAAGCTAAGATAGACTCGATTGCCCGTTGTTTGACATAGAAAAAATGAAATTCACCAATAACTATGCAATAGCGCTTCAAGCGTAGGTGTAGCTCACGCATGGACTCAAACTTAAAGACTTATCACTGGTGCAACAATGCACTAAACACTGGAATGACTCATCAGAGATGCTATTCTTTTATAGTTAATGGTAAAAAATTTAATGCTTCAAAATGGGAAGTGAAGGAGAGGGAATTCATGTAACCATAAACTATTTTGGAGGGCATCAGTGCTAATATCAATTTCAGATGAGAGGATTATAAAAGCAAATGCATGTTCTTAAGAATCATTCATGAAAAAAATAAAAAACAGTTCAAAACTTAGAATTCTTTGCTTTACTATGTGATACTCATCATTTGCGAGTAGTTAGTTTTCTACTATTATAGGAACTCTCTCCCTCTCTCTCTCTCTCTCTCTCTCTCTCTCTCTCTCTCTCTCTCTCTCTCTCTCTCTCAGCACTTGATCTTACAAGCTTAATCACTTATTTTATGTTTTAAGTGACAAGCTTAAGTCAGGTGATTGTATGATATATGAGGTCCTTCAGTTTATAGTGTTAAAGCTAAGTCAAGCTTTGTGCTTGCTGTTCTGCAACGGCACCTCCCCTGACTGGTTGGGCATGAAAATTTGTTGATCATTTTTTTATTGCTAAAATAGGTGTCTTACCAATTTTGATTGCAATAAGTGAATGACAATGTTCAACTTTGTCATCCTAGCTATTTGTAATATTTGACAGACTGAATAAGTACCCAAAGTAGCACTAACTTTGTGCAAACAGCCAAGTTATTCATGATCTACTAAATCCATTTAATCATTGTTAACAGACTCCCAGTTTTAAACTTTCTTTACCTTATACATGTAGATGTAAGCTCCATACTTGTTATCTAATAAATGGAGGTGTCTGCTATTGTGAATTCGTAACCATGAGAAGCTTACAGGCACAATCAGATGCATTGATGTCAATAGTCACTCAACTGATAATGACGGTCTTATATTGAAGCTCTCGGAATCTGAATGCCTCGTATTCTTGTCATGGAACCTTTTGGTGTTATTTTTATTTGCTATTTGAATTCTTGTCTGATAAAAAAAAAATCTTGTCCCAGGTTTGGAATATTTCCATCGTGGGGCCTTTCACAAAAGCTCCCTCGCATTATCGGAATAAGTAGAGCACGAGAGGTATCACTTTCTGGCATGGCCATAACTGCAGAGATGGCAGAAAAGTGGGGCCTCGTCAACCATGTTGTGGACAATGGTGAGGTGTTAAAGAAAGCGAAAGAAGTTGCACTGGCCATTTTAAGAAACAACAGGGACATGGTGTTGATGTACAAGTCAGTCATCAATGATGGTTTCAAATTGGATCTGGGTCATGCTCTTGCCCTTGAAAAGGTGATTCTTTTAATAATTTCTTTATATTTCTCTGTCACATTTGGCTAATAGGCCTTAAAATCCAAATTCAAATGCATAAAGGAAAAATTGTCAATTAGATTAACTGATCAAATTTAGGACCTACTATGTTGTATAATGATCTAATTGCTTGTAATGTAGGATCGGGCAACCTGTGTATGTAGCTCTTGTAATGGCAAGTCCTGGAATCTCTTTGAACAGATGCTGATGCACCTTCAAACTTCACAGGAACAATCTTAGGACAAAGTGTAGTTTGATTGACAAAGTGTAGTTTGTTTGTCAAAATCCCAATGGCAAAACAAGTCGGCAAACTAGACATCCCCCATGGATCACAAGTCCTTTCTATCCATTCCATGCATATGCTCATGGCTGATATTCATCCTAATGGGCCTTCCTTTGCACCAACTTTCGGACTTCATTAAGACTACAAGACTGATTCTTTGCCAGTAGAGGATGATAAACTTCTTGCAATGGAATTCCAGAACAATGAACTTTCTCCTCTGTATATAATCTTGAAAATAGCAATCAGGCAGTGCAGCTTGTTATCTTTTATCATTTACTTTAATAGCTTATCCAGTTATTTTTCGGTTCCTAAACTATTTTTGGGTCTCATTACATGTTTCTTTTCTGACAAAATATTCAGGAGAGAGCTCATAGCTATTATAATGGCATGACCAAGGAGCAATTTGCAGCCATGCAGAAGTTTATATTAAGTCGAAGTTCAAAGTCTTCCAAGCTGTAGTTGTTTCACAATGTTCTATGTAAGATGTCATTGGTAATAAGCAGTTCTACAGCCACATGATTAATCTTTTCTTAATGTGGGTTGTAACAAATGTAATCTTGTATGCAAGTTCTTAAATAGCATGAAAATAAAACAATATTCAAATAGCTAAATCTTCCTTCTTCTTTTTTTGCAACAGTTTTTAGAAACTTGAGTATCAAAGAAACCACTTTGTTTAAAGTTGCCTGTGAAATGTTAAAGAGTATCCTACTTAATGGTTTCACAAATCATGTAGAAACACATTTCTTGCTCATATTTGCAAGCCACTTTGAATGCATGCTTCTAAAGTTGAAATTTCGGTGATATATTATTTCTTTTATATTTGTATGTCATTCAGTGTAGTTTTATGTTGTCATTTACCAATTGTTGCATTAGAATATAATATTTATATTTAATTATTGATTAAAAGAGAGAACTTTGTTAGTGCTTAGCATTCTTTTTTGAATATTGGATATTTGACTATATATATATCAACATCTAAGAATACATCATCGACACACCAAAAAAAAAAAGGTTCAACTTATAATATTTGGACATCTAAATTAAGATTTTCTTGCATTTGTGATATTGCTCATTAGATTGAAATATTAATTTTAAATTATTCGAGCATCCTTAAATTAATATAAAGATTATTAATTTTCATCATATAAAAATCATGATAGTCCTCGCAATATGTTTTTCCTTCATCTCTTAGCTCTCCTCTTATCGACCTCTTTCATTCTCCCGTAGTGGAGGTATTCATTTCTTCCTCTTGTTTTTGTTTCAACGATTACGTAGTCTTAGTCTTTGATGTGTATCGTAGGTTTTTTTTAATAAGATTTCCGAAGAGAAAGTAAAAGAGTTAAAAAGAGAAACCTCTCAACTGTTGATGTGAGACTAAAGTTTTTGAGAAATTTAGGTGATGTGAGACTAAACTTTTGGTGAGATATAAAATATGTCAATTGAGATTTTACTACCTCAAATTCTTAATAAGAGGATCTGATACATCATCATTAAATTAATAATTTTTATTAATATCCAATTAGATGCCAAATTTACTACTTATTTTAATTTTTCTTATAATATGACCCTTGAACACACAAACAGTTACTTATGAGGATCCAATATCTTTTAGATTTGAGTTGGATACCTAAAATATTGTTTCCTCTGATAATATTATGTTTCATTTGGTATCATTGTACTATCCAATGCAATATTTTTCACAATTATTTATGCTTTGATGCATTTACTAATTAATTTCTCAACTTAATTAATATTTTTATTATTTCTATCTAAATAATAATTTAAGTTCTTCTCGTTCATGGAAATGCATTGCAGTAAACATCAAACAGCAGTTCTTCTCTCTGTCTCTTCACTATTCACTGTCTGATGCTCCACGGAGTTGTGGTCGAAACAATTTCCAGTCTAACGTGAATAGGTATTCAATCATATCTCTTGTCATCATCTGAGGTCTCATGGATCAATCAAACATCTTCATCTTTTCTGCTGTCCTCTACCTGATCATCTTCTCCAGGGACATCTATCTATATTGCGCCAGAATACCTGTGCAGTAGTAATCTTATCGTATGACGGCGACAAGTGCTCGTGCATGCATAGCTACACCACTGATTCCCCTCGGACTTAGGCATAGGCTTTTATCCTATCATCGCGTTGCACCGGGAAAAGATGCCATCCATCACATCTCTCATGGGCAATCATTTTGATATGTTCTTACGAGGCCCTAATGCACCGGCCTTCACACGTAAAATTATGATTGCTTTAGGCCGTGTTCATTGCTCTCCTTGCAGATTAGACAGGAAATAAGGAGGTCGTACCAGAACAAAGCTGTGTCACCGCTCTTGCAGAGGACCCATAGGTTGGTTGTGGTTCTTATTTAAAGTTGGCTGTTAGGAAGGACTACAAATGCTGGGGGGGGGAGGAGAGAGCTCATGATCTGTATTGTCCCTAATAATTAGCAGATTCGAGCAGTGGTTGTCAGCTGGATCCCATGATCTAAAGATCTTTATCCGAATCTCTCTCTACAGGCAATATGCTTAATGATTCTTTGGATCAGGGCAATCTTTTTATTTCTTTGTGTGTGTTTTCTTTCCTTTTCCTGTCCCCCCCATCAGCCACAGAAGGAAAGAAAGTCTGGCATTTGATGAGAGGTATTATTGCATTTAGAACTGTTCTTGCGGGAGTTGCGAAGGAAAATTTGTTGGGATCATATGCGACAATGATTTATGTTTAACATCAACAAACAAAGCAAATGTTCCATCGGTCATCCATTGATATATGTGGTACAGCTTGGCTCTCGAGATCTGGCACCGGTAGGCTCCAGGCCAATGATCACTCTTGGCTTTTGGTGATGATAAGATACCAAAGCTTGCGAATTGGACTGTTGCAGCTCCCGGTTGTGACGTGAGGTGGGTCTGAAAAGAAAACCCTGCTTGCCACAGCTTCCGATCTCACCGAGAGTGAAAACTTGTTTGAAGCTTGTCAAGAACCCTAGTTTTTCAGCTCAGCCAAAGCAGTCAGAGATGTCTAGTGCTCAGTTGAGGATGGATAGGTTGTGGTGGGCCTTGTGACCGATCGATGGAGGGAGAAAAGATGAAGATTAATCTGTCCCAACGTTGTCTCCTATGCGGTACTGTCTCGGTGGCTGTCGCCTCAGACGACTGAGGAATGGGTTTCGTCCCTTCCCAAAGGAACAATGTCAGATGTCGAGAGGTAAAAAGATTCCAAGCAGATGATCTCCACCCTAATTTCAGAAACTGCAACCGTTGAATGGTCACTACTATTGTTTCTGTGCCTGAACGAGATGAGACATCGATCTCCTTCGTATTCACAGTGATTTTTTAGGTTTATGGTCATGTTCAAGATTAATCTTGGATTATTTACGTAAGAGAAAACAAAGCTTCGGACCAGCTTAGAACATCTACATTACCATGGGAATGTGGTCCTTCATGAATCTTCTTTTTCTGCCATTTGGGGGTATATTATCCGGTTAGATTTTAGCTTCAGAGATGTCTTTCTCTGTGGGCAATGCGAAGGAATCCTCTCTACTCATGAAAAGGAAGAAATGCCAAGAACTGGAATATGACAGCATTTCTTCTTTCTTTTTTTCTCTTTGCCAATGAGGAAGAAGAACATAAAATAAAAGTTAAGCAAACAGGGTGAGGCAAAAGGAAACATGATCATGCAGGAGGAGGGTGAAGAAAAGGCCTGTCATGGAGACCATCACATGGAGCTTGTATGCTTTCAGCTCCACTTCTCTTTGTGTGTCTCCATCACCAGCTAATCATTGCAAGCAATGGAAACAAAATAGAGTGGAAGACTACTTGTGATTAGTGGGTAGATATGGACTTAGAAAAGAACATTATTGATATGATTATGTGAGAAAACTGGATCCACCATTTTTGGAGTTTGTGCTTCACTACAGCATGGTATTTTCACCTGTGAAGTAAATATATGACTGATACAGTTCATGGGTTAAATAAGCTACTGAGTCATTAGCTTGCAATACTGTTGCTTCAGCAGATGAGATAGCCATGCATGTGAATTTTGTTGCATATCAAACAAGTTGGCTGAGTAATGATCACTTTATTATCCATGGCTTTTGTCAGCACCCATCAGAAAAGAAGTAAATACAAAACTCTTTTGTCCTTTTTCTTTTCTGACTCTGATTGAATCTGCCAACTTAGATGTTGCTGAATTTGGATCTCACTTGATCGTATATCATATATTTTTCTCCATTATTGACACAGCAGATATGACCAAGTCTGTAGCATTATCTCAGTATAAGCTACAGAGCAGTATTTATGTTTTGTCTGGTTGTATCAGAAATCCCATTTGGTATATGAATCACACCAGATATAAGTTTGGTGATCCTTTTAGGATGACCAGCCAAAGTTGCTGCTATATTGAATTGAGAGATTGGGTTTGACAAATCAATAAAGTTTCATGGATATCAATGGGAACAAAACCAAGGGAAAGAGTGATATCATCCTAACTCGATCAGTAACTTGCAAATATTTGCTTGATGTTGCAGGTGGGTTTGAGCTTCTCATCATGAGATTCCAGAGTTCTGCTTTCTCATCTTCCTTGGCTAACTCATCTCCAAGTATCAGGTGAAGCAAGTTATGCCCATCGATGTGGAGATTCATATCCTTTATCATCATCACCTGAGTCATCGAAACATGGAGACAGCTTTTCCTGTTGGTACTTCACCATGGTCAAAGCCATTAGCAGCCGACGCTGATATGTCAGAACTGTATCACACAGTTTCAAACATCGTGTTCTGTTAGGTCATCTGAACTTGGTGCAGTAAATAGATGGAAGAATGCAGCTAAACAGCAACATTCTCCTTTAGCTAGTTTTCCTTCACGATGTGGTTTTCAGATAAGGTAACAGAGCTGGACTTTGCTAAAGATTTAGAGAGGAGATGAGCTCGAGAACAAAGAAAAGACGAGAGGATCATCCAATTTGAATTGCAACAGGGTGAGGATCATCCACTGCAGACAATTTGACTGGAGCAGGGAGGATGTGTGAACTCATTCCACCACCAGACACATTTAAGCTGACGACTGACATTTTTGTCTGGAAACCTGCTAATTGCTCACACAAGGGAACCGGAGACCACATTGCCTTCTCCGGTGGCCTACAGGAAACGGTATGCGAGGTGAACATGGAAGGGGTAACCTGATTTCAAGTGTTCACGAGTAGTCTCATCCAATTCACCTGATGACGGCAATCCACTTCCACATTGATTGCAGCAACTGCAACACCCACGTTTCTAAAGCTTGCAGATGAAAAGAAGCCATCAGCCAAAGCACTCCTCTGTTGCCGTACTCGCGCACTTTCGTAATGCCTGTTCACTTTTATGCAACAGTCGGGAGCGAGTGACAGGGACAACGAAAGCCGGTCAAATCTGCTTGGTAAAGAAGGAAGCATATCGGGGAGTCAAAGCAGTCTCGCAAACTTGATCTCAGAATATTGATTTACTACTTACTTGTGAAGAGATAAATCATGTTTACTACTTGGGTATTACTGCAACGGTCAACTTAACTGGTGACAGCAGAATCAGGGAGGTTGCCATGTCGATGGCCACATCGCAGCCGTCGACGACCTGATGGCGCGATCTGGGCCATGTGATGGCAAGGGAACGGCCGAAGGCGATCGTTTGCTTCCGCTGCGGAGCGTTGCATGTGGCGACGGCGCGGGTAAAATGGTCAATTAACGTGAGAGATAAATACAGGCGCCGAGGCTCGTCGTGACGTGTCCTGTTGTTACCACCCGCCCTTTCCTATATAACACTGCCCCGCCAGCCTCCTTCGCTGTCCGCCTACCTTCCCCCTTCTCTTCCGGACCAGTTCGATCGATCGGAACTGAATCCCGCATTTGTACTTCCTTCCCTTTCCCCTTCGTTGGAGGATTTCTGAGGTAAGAACCCTAATCGATTTCTGTTGCTTTCGGTTCTTTGGATCTTGGTATCGTCCGGTGAATCGGGCTCTTCTTGATGGAGGATGTGGCGACGGGACCTGGGTGTTTGTTGATCGATTTGATCGTTTTGGTGTTGCAGGAGATTGGAACTTGGCTGGATATCTTAAGGGATTTAGGTCTTTGAGGCTTGGGATGACGATCTCGAATGGGGACGGGGATTCGGCAGCTAAGGATGGCAGAAGGGAGAGGAAGCGGAAGCGCCGGGCGGAGCCATCACTGGTTAAGTGGAAGACGGAGGGCGAGCAGAAGACCTACTCCTCCAAGCTCATCGAGGCCCTCCGGCGCGTGCGCCGATCATCTGCTACGGGAGCGGCGTCAGCGGCCACGGACCACTCGCGTAGCCGCGCCGTACGGGAGGCGGCGGACCGGGCGCTGGCGGCCGCGGCGCGAGGCCGGACGCGGTGGAGCCGCGCGATCCTCTGCGGCCGGACGCTCAAGCGCAGGGTCCTTCCGCGGGCCGGCCGACCGAAACCCGTCGGGCCCGCCCGGGCGGCGGAGAGGAGCAAGCCGCCGGCCCTGAAGACGAAGGCGAGGGTCCTAGGCCGGCTGGTCCCCGGCTGCCGCAAGCTGCCGTTGCCATCGCTTCTAGAGGAGGTATCGGACTACATCGCGGCGCTCGAGATGCAGATCCGGGCCATGAGCGTGATCGCCGAGGCCCTCTCTGCCGTCGGCGGAGCCCCGTCACCGGCTCAAACGGAGGGGCCGATGTGAATCGGATGCGATCGCCGAAGGTCCTCCTCTTCTCCTCTCTATTTTTGCTGCTAATCTTTGATTTGCTGTCGCCGGTAGCTCCGCATTTTGTTTAGTATGTGCACTACTCTCTGGCTTTCGTCTTCTCCTTTCTTCTCTTTCGAAGGAGCTCCACCTCACATGTTACCCACATGCACTCCACACACCATTTCACATTTGCATTCCACCTATTTCATCGATCAAGGAAGTGAGTTACCGCTGTAATTTATGGAAAGATATATGTATATTGGTCTTGGTGGATTGGGACATAACTCTATGTATGTGTACATCTATTTGAGCCACATCCACCAGGGTGGAGGTCAATTGGATTCCCCTTGTTTGAGTGATGGAAGGAAATGTACATGTGCAAGTGGATAGAATTCATGTGAATCTGACTTTACAGCAAGGAGAGAGAAGCGTTCGAGGCATTGGATGGCTGGATCCGAAGGCAAAGGTGAGGGTAACAAACAAAGCAGACGTAACCGTGTCAACTGCACAGCACATGGAAGTTGAGGAGGTTGAGAATAGATCCATGTGAGGGGGTGTCATGGGTTCATGGTGCCCTCTCTCTGCCCTCTGCCTGTTGCCAACATGAGACATGTTTTTACTGCCATCACGATAACAGACTCCACGGAGGCTTCCAAGGGAGTGAGGAGAATATTAGCTGGCACCTTTAGAAAGATAATTTTATAAGATTAAAAATTAAAAAAAATATAGTTTTATTGAAGTAATCGAATTAAATATTTTATTTTTATAAATATAAAAAAAATTAATATAATTTGTGAAAGTATAAAAATTGAGATGAGTGGTAATAGCCCGATCGGAGACTGCTCCTTTCCCTACGCACACCCGCACGGTCAAGCAGATCAAGGCCGTCCACCCTGTTGAGAGCTTCACCGCCTCGACGTCTGCCGTCGAGAAGCGCCGTCGCTGCGGCCAGATCGAGTAGCTTATCGAGGAGGCCGAGGACGAGCTCAAGCTCGTCGCCGAGATGATCGGTCCGTCCCTGCCTTCTTTCCTTCGTTATCATGCCGGTTCCTTTTGCTTGAGATCGGTCTCATGGCACTCGATCCCTGTCTGCGACTTGAGGCTTTTAAGTTTGAGAGTTTATGTGCGTTCTTTTCGTTGCTAATTTTGATCTTGGATGGAAATTCTTCACAAATTTAGTAGAAAATAAGTAGATTTTTAGGGTTTGTGTGCTGTAGAGATGACTTCCAAAGGAAAAAAAAAAAGATCCTTCTTTTCTTTTCCATTTTTCTTTTAGGGAATATCAGAAGGTCAGTGACCGGATGTTTGGTTCTGATTTCATGTTCATTTGGTTGGATATGTCACTTAAGGTGGAAATTGTCTTTGAAAGCATCAGACAAGAAATTTAGGCATGGGTGACTATTGCATTTCCAGTTTGTTCTGCTGGTGTTGGATCCAGTCATCGAGTTGGTCGGGATGGATAGTAATTCTGTGATGGTAAGACTGAGTTCCCCTTCCCTAAACTGTGTGTTGCTTTGTGGAAAATTCCATTGGCAATTATCATGAACTGTGTTCTTCGCATGAGCAGCCTAGGGACATATCTCTTCCTTTAGGAAGCAGTTTTGGTGGAAGAGTTGCCCAATGTTTAAATTAAATTTTCTTTCATTGAGGTACTTGATCTGTCATTACTCCATTTAAACATGATAATTTTGAAATATTAGTGGGAAGTTGCAATTTTTCTAATGTCTTAATTTAGTGCTATGTTGAAATTAAGAAAAGATTTGAATAGACTTATAAGCGCTACATGTGCCTGCAACTATTAATTTGTGTTTATGTATCTTGATCCAATGGTGTAGGCTCAACAAAATTAAGATATTAGAGTCGACCTAGTGTTGAGTATGATGAGGGGATTGAGTAGAAAAGGACTATTTGTGGATGGATTTGTATGGTACATCTTGGTATGGATCTACCATTGTGTTGGACCTCTCATGCACCATGATAGGATTTGATTTTGGATTATGTTGGTTCTTGACAAAAACGTCCAACACTTGAATGGGGAAGATTGTAATGTATCCCACATCAAAAGTGGGAGAAGACTTGAATGGGTTCATGAGGATTAGATGAATTCCTACCATTAACTTAGACAAAAGTATTTTTTACCAGTGATTTAATTTAAATAAAGTTGATGGGTCATGGGTCATGACAATTTTAGTTACAATTTGATTTGATATTTAGGACCAGAAATATGTTGGATGACGTTGTCAATTTATCTAGACTGGGAGTCATACAATATGCTTCTCGAAAGAGTATCCAACCATGGATTCCTTGTACTTCTATTTGGCCCAAATTTCTCTGAAAATACTCTTAGAATAGAATATAGCGGCATGCTTCTGACAAAGTAGATTTGATTGTTATCTTGAGACTTCACTCATTCAGCTTATTTCTTCAGTGGAATGCTTTTGGTCTAGCATCAACAAGCTGTTATTGTTTATTTCTTCTGCTCATGCTTTGAGGGTTAACAACATCTTAGAACAATTGTCTGAAGAATGAAAAAGAAAACAGGTATTCTGGTTTGCATCATCTTATAATAGCCTTTAAAAATGCCTTCGCAGGGTCTCCTGTGAGATGTCATCTCGCTGGTAGAGACCAGGGAACGGCGGTTGACTTGGAACCAAATGCCCGTCCTCCACCAAGCATTGGGCCGCAGCTATTTGATTGGGTTGGGACTGTGCTTGGGAGGCGTACATGGTGATCTGAGCTTGTGTCTCAGCTAGCTCACGTTGAACGACACTAATCTCCCTCTGCAACATTGAGATGAACCCAACACTCCCATAAACCGGATCCTGCACACGCCAGTAGGCCTCCATCGCAATGGCATCTGCGGCTTGTCTTCTGTGCTCCACTGGAATTTGCTGCGAGATGCACATTCTGATGTCAGTATCTTCTTAAAATGTGGCACACAACTTCAATGCCTTTACTGTTAGTTTTATGACTTGGTAAGGGTGTCTTTAAGATTATAAGGAAATATTTCCCGCAGAATTCTAGACATGCAAGGTTGAATTGTCATCATGAAGAGGGTATAGGTTATTCTATTAGTGATGTTACTGATAACTACTTGTTGGTTGATTGCAGGTTCTCCAATAGAACAATACAGTGAGGCAGCTGCAATCAGGGAAGGTCTCCAGTATCTTTTTAAGAGATAAAAATGCGAAGAATGCATGTTGAAGCAGATCCAAAGACGACGATCTACATCTAAGACATACTGTGGACTTCAAATTCTCACAAGTATACTGGCAAGGTAATAGGATTGTTAACTAGTTGGCAAATTGTCAAACCTATACAATTAGTGTTTTTGGGACCGGAATGATTCTTTTAATCTTTGTACTCTGATGTGAAGGTAGTAGGATTATTAACTAGTTGGCAAAATGTCTAACCTATAAAATTAGTTTGTCGGGACCGGAATGACTCATTTTATCTTTATACTCTGATGTAAAGAGAGATTTTTGAATCCGTTTATATATTTTCTTTTTAATGAAAAAAATCGTATTGAGATAGTTGGATTGTTACATTAGCAGCCTAACTTGGACTAAGAAACTAATCACTACTGGGAGAAAACCAGGTGTTCACCACCGCTAAAATTACACTAATTTTGCTAATATTAATTCAGATATAAGCTCCTTCCAAAACACCATCATCATCATCATCACCATTAGCAACATCATTTTTTGATGGACTCACATCAGTTTTTTCTTCTTTTTCTTATATTTGAACCTTGCTAAATTCTTCCCTTGTATATCAAATTAAATAAGTCTTAGAGGTGCAGCAAATTCTATCAAAATAACATAGAAATTGCAGCAGTTCACTGTAGTTGTGATCATGAACTGGTGATTGCAACCATAAGGAAAAGTGTTGGAGGAAGAACACAAACCTGCAGCATTCGAGCGACGTTGCTGGCCCCAAAGATTCTGTGAACGCAGGCAAATCTATGGGGGTTGGCGGAGGGGAAGTAAGGCGCCAACGCGCAGTCCTCACAGCATCTCCTCCTCAGATACCGACACGCCGCGCATCGAGTTGGATTCGACATGGCGGCTCACGTTGTCGGCCCTTCTTAGATTGACCAGTAGATCCCCCCCAAAATCTATTACTGAATTTTCTGTTAGATTTTCTGCTGATCCATTGAGATCCTCGTGGAGATTTATTGCGACGGAGGGAGCTCCCCATCAAGGAAAGCTCAACGGCTAGTGATTTGAACAGGAGAGGGAAGAACATGGTATGTGAGCAGGAGCGGTCAAACTTCCTTCAAGTCAACGTTCAATTTTTAGCACATTTTTTAATTCAATTTAATCGAGTATATATATATATATATATATTATGTCGGAACATGGCACGTTCTTAGCATCCACAGCTGCTGACCTGACAGTGTGTGTCACGTGGCGTTATCCAAAGAAAACTTGAGAACATTCCTACAAGGGATCCGATGTCCACATCTGCGTCGTTGGAACCGGTTTAGATCACCGAGTTCCCGCGGATCATCTGCTGGCTTCCTCTTCCTTGCTATTTCATCACCTCTCTCTTCTCTCTCTCTTTTTCATAATTTATATTTATTTTTCCGTCTTTATATTTACTTTGTTTGAGCCTCACCGACACACCTTCGAATCCTCCTCGTACGGAAACCCTAATCCCATCCGTCTTCTTCCGCTTACCCTAATCTCTCGCCCTTTCTCTCTAGGATTTGAGCAGGAGTTGTGTCGTTTTTTGTGTGGAGTGGGCGATATGCCGGTGCCATTATCTGGATTTGATCGAATGATTCGTTTCATGGGGAAAAAATGGTATGAGCTGCCGATCTAACTTGGTTGTTTGGTAGGGGGGTTGTTCTTGCATAAATTCTTGTCCGATTTGACGCATCTTGGCGGCGTTTGTCTTGCAAAGCTCCGTCTTTTTCCCTTTCCCATAAAAGATATTTTTTTTTTCGAAGATAAAAGATCTGGTCTTTTCGGTTTGAGGAAGAACATTGGGTTTCCTAGGAGATGCATCAGCTGCATTTTGAGATTTTGGGATGTTAATTCTCGATTTCAGGCATTAGAGTTTGTCTTTCTTTGGGGCATGATTCTAAATTTAACTGATTTATGCAGGAAGATGTGATTTTTGAGATGATTGGCGGCGTTCTAAATGGTTATTCGTAGATATGCTGACGATATTGTACAGGTTGCGTTGCGGCTTTAAAGGATAAGGGAGTAAGAAGCTTCTTTTGTGATTAGTAGTTTTGAATTTTGTTTATCATGGATGCACAGAGATCAATCGAGAGAGATGTTGTTGTGGATCTGGAAAGTGGCATGAATGCACTAATCAACCAACGAGAGGGAGCAAAAGATGTGGACTTGAGTGCGGGGCAGGGGAGAAGAGTGATGAATAAGGGATGGGGTGGTCTTATGGGCATCGATGGGTTCATGCATGTTGAAGAAGCTGCGAAATCAGCAAACATTATGACAAGTTGTTCTGCGCTTCCTCTCACAAATGCTGAAGCTTCAGTGGACAAGAGGAACAGAGGAGAGGAAGGCCCAAACCTGTTGGAGAAGAAGGTGGGAGCCGAGAAGACTAAAAAGAAGGGCTGTAAGAAGCCTCCAAAACCTCCCCGGCCTCCCAAGTCACCACCTTTGGATGCTGCTGATCAGAAGCTGATAAGGGAGATCTCTGAGGTTGCCATGATGAAGCGGGCAAGGATCGAGCGAATGAAACTGAAGATGAAGAATGCCAAGTCGACATCTTCTAATGGCAACTTGTGTGCCTTGGTTGTTACCATTCTTTTCTGCCTTGTTATAATCTGGCAAGGTATACTGCATCCTTGATTTTCGATGCCCATGAGTTATCTGGAAAGTTGTTACTTATAATACAACGATTGGCAAATTGTATCTACTAACTGGTACACAATCTTCTGAAGAATTTGTTCCTCTTTGACATATACATTCATGTCCTTTGTTTATCAAATGTTGATGTTGGATCCCTTCAAATAGCACAGATAGAGTATTCTACTAATTGTCATCGTCTATGTGCATTGGCACGGAAAAGGAATTTGTCGACTAGTCCACCACTAGGCACAAGAATAACTTGTTTATTCTGCTTGATATCCATACATACATAACCTGAGATTCTTGCTGATCTAACAACACAATATTGAACAAGAATAGGAAAATTTGAAGCTTTGTGCTTTTCCTTTCCCTCTTAATCTGTTATTTCTTCTGTGTTGGGTGTTGAGAGTGATACTACCATAAATCAAGTCCAAGGTTGCACCAGAATAACATGATTAATCAGAGTCAATAAACCAAGAAACAAATTTTCACCTGGTCTTCAAATGAGTCGACCACTCCATCTTTTGGTCACTGTGAATTGACAGTGAGGATATTTTAACAGAAAGGTTTATGTATATTGATATGCAAAACTATCTACCAATAGTTTATGCTTTATTCCGGAGTGACCAAGTCATGACATCATCAAGAAGATATATATAATAACAATATGAAGAAAAATATATTTGCTTGGAATATGACATTAATATTTAGATAACGATTCTTCTGTCATTTGAGTAGTTTCTTTTGTCTATTTTGGAAATGGGAATACAGCTTCGGCTTCACTAGTATAGAATTGAAATCCTCCTTGAAGGAAATTTTATTTAGAAATGATAATTGACAGTAGGAGTAAAGAATTGCTATGAATCTAAGACCACCTTGGTGCATATTGTCGTGCATGTTTGTTAGAATCCATATATTGATCAACACTTGCAATTTTATTATCTTTTTTCCTGCAACTTCTATAACTAGATGTTATATTCAGTCACGTCGTTTGGGTTAATTTGGTCAATATGGCTTACCTGCTGCAAATTTTTGTCTGTTTTTATCCCATTCATTCAATAGAATCTTTTCATTTTATAGAGGAGTGTTTTTTTTAAGATTTCCATGTGGTACTTGGGCCATCTGTCTAATTTTAAGCCTTTCCAATGACATGTATGACCGGCAACTTAATCACCATACAAAGACTATATTATACTTTGTTGAATATGGTTTAAGCTTACTGAGCTTAATAAATAGGCATTTGTGGATTTTGTGTCTTTAACTATTCTAAGAATGGTTTTGGATGATTTTACTCTGGTCCTATCAAAAGAAGGGGCAGCTGAAAGTGGTGCAGCTGGACACAGAATCAATGTTCAATTTTTGTTTTCTAAGCCAATAATAATATCTGGTGGTATGGGATAAAGATGGTTAACCTTTCTCAGATGCCTAAACAGCCATCTATGGTGTCAATGCTCATAGCTTTTGTTTTCCTTGCAATATCTAACCCCAAATTATGGCTGACAATTGATTCAGATTGTTTATGTGTCTTCTTCAATTTTGTATTGAGTTTAATGATGTTCACTACCATAGCTTTCCTTTTGTTATTGTCATGTATTATTTATGATATTGGTATCAATTTTTTTCCCAATTTGTTAAGGTTTAATTGATTTAGATTTTAGCATATTCGGATGTAACTTGATTTGGCTTAGTTAAGTGCATTAAACTGCTTATTAGTTTGATTTCATCTTTGATAACATTTGGTTGGGTTAAGGTTTAATTAAGCTTGATCTTGGTGCATTGAGATGTAAGCTGACTTGAATTTAGTTAATGACATTAAACTGCTCATTAGTTTATGCAGTTTCATGAATATTATGCTGAATGCATGATGTATAAGTTAGAAACAGCCAGGTTCAACGTAGGCCGAAAATAAATTAAAGCAAGCTCGATCTGTTTCACGTCTCCACCATTTGTTTCTTGGTTTATGACTTTTGGTTGTTTATATAGCAATAAGCACTGAAGGCAAAAATATTAAAATAGTTTCTTAGGATTAAACTGTGGTATCTTTCTATTTATGTCCGCAAAATGGTATATTGCTTACCCTGTGCACTATGGATCATGAAACAGTCATTTTTGGATCAAGTGTTTTTATTTTTAATACTAAAAATTAGTTATTTGATGATTGCATATTGAATAGGACATTTTGTGTGGTAGGTTCTGTATTCTATAGTTGCAGAAGTTTATGATGAAAAGTTCGACAAGCTTCCAGGATATTGGGGTTATGCCTTTCCAATATAATCATTAAATAACTGACAAAAATCTCGATTATGAACCTGTGGAGATCAGTGGAATAATGGCATTATAATTTTCACTAATTGGTTTACTTGTCACCTAAATTATTAATCATTCAATCGTGTCGATGCTTAAACTTTATAGGAGCTCTGCTATTGCAAGTTATGATGTACTTGGATCCTGCACAGCTAACATCTAATTGGTGAAGCTTCTTCTATTCATACTATTGTCATGGTTCTGACAGGAGCTTTCTCTGGAGGCAATTCTACTGCTGGATTTCATGGTTCCCCTGAATCTTCCCTAAGGATTGGCAGTGGATTGATCTCCGTTCGAATCCACAAGAAGGCCTCGGAAAATGGCCGTAATATGCCTTACTCAGCAACTCCAAAGTATGGTGCTCTTTTGCTTTCACTGTTTGTAATTATCTATGTTAAATCTTTATTTGGAAGAGTTATGTCTAAAATCCTTTGTATCGTTCCACCCACATAGCGATAAATGCAACTACTGATCATGGCAAGAACAGTCTGAACTATACTATTCTGTTACTAATTTCTGTGGCATGTTTACTTGTGATTGCAGTAACGCCGAACCAGTTTCTTGATGAGATTACCATTTGAAAGCGAGCAGACTTCTGAAGATTCAAACTAAAATCCTGCAATCCCAGAGAGAGTAACCTTCATCAGACCTTGTTCTAAACGACTTATTTCTCCTTTTTCTTCTTTTATTTTTCGGAGGCCGATATCTGCATTGTGTTTTCTCGTTATTATGGTTTGTACATATGAGCAGACAACTCCTTTCAGAACACATGCATTTTGTAAATGATAGGAAGCTCCTGCTATTTGTTCTTGCCTTCAACTACTTGTCCTTGCAACTTTTGGCATGTTCTTGAGCAGATGACCTTTGTTCATGTTCTTTGATCTTTTGCCCTCATGTTTAGATTCTTGATATTCTAAAAGAAACTCAGGATTATTTTTAGTAAAAAAAAATTAAGGTAACATTTCCGGTAATAAGTTTTTGGTGTTGGAATTACATTTATTAAGAAAATATAAAGATATTTATTGTATCAAAAGATGAAATATATTAAATGCCTATAGAAAAATAAATCAAATTAATTATTGGTTAAATAATTTTTTTGAAAAGAGTGATTCATATTGTATATGGGGTCTATATAAATCTCACATGTTACATCATGAAATATATAGAGTTTTTTAGTGAAATATAAAATATTTTACTTTGTTCTACTCCTTTTTTGTGTGATAGTTCCATCTCTTTTTTTAGCTGGTTCAATATTTGGTTTTAGAGCTTAGGTTTAGCTATGATCTATTCCTCGAGTACCATTCGACTCCAAATTTGATAAAAAAAAATTATAATATATGATGTATCCAAATAAAGATTTTTTTAAGTTTCTTGTATGGAAGTTTATAGAAGGATTTGTTGAACCAAATCAAACAGAAAAAGGAGCAATGTTTGAGATCATCGTTTCAGTAAATACTTTAAAAGAGGTTAGGAAATGTTTCAAAAAGTATTTGGTAGTATGGATAAGGTAAAAATTTTAAGAGTTGAGTTTGAAAAATTACAACAAATAATTGAAGAGTCTAAATATTTATAACCATTGGGTTCTCTTTAAGTTCATGAACAAAAGCTTACAAAAAGAGGAGAAGAAAAATATACAGAAAAAGCATTATAAACTAAGTTTACTCTTAAAAATAAATATAAATCAAAATCTAAAAAAGAAAGATGTCGTAGACAAAGAGGAAAATGTGATAGAAATTTTAAAAGATAAAAAATACAATGTTATGTTTGCAAAAGGTATGAGCACTACTCCTTTGAATATTATTATAATATTAATAATCAATATGATAAGATAAATTTTATTTTAAAAAAGAAAAGAACAAAAATTATGTTTTACTTATGATAATTTGAAAGAAGATAAATCTATGACATTATATCTAGATATAAGAGCTTTAAAATGTGTAACATAAAGAATTATTTTTTTAAAATACATACAAGTTATTTCGATAACATTACAGGATAATTACTTTAAAAAGGTTATGATATTGAGATGAAAGATATAACTCTTTTAATTCGTGATAAGAATTAAATATTAATCTAAAAAATTACGAAGAACATATTGTTTCCTTTGTATTTATGTATTTTTTATCAATCAAATTGTTTTAAAACTAATATTGAGGACAATTCTATATTATGACATCATAAATATGTTCACTTAAATTTTAAGGCTTCAAAATTTCTAGAGAAGTATAATATGGTGATATGATTATCATCACACATCAAAATTATATGAAATATGTATTATGAGAAAACAAGAAAGAAAGTCTTTTAAATTAAGAAGAACAAAAAGAACATGATATTGACTTGATCTAGTGGACTCAGATATTTGTGATCTTATCAATCTTTATCAATCTAGTATCACTTAGAGAAAGCGGGTATTTTCTTACATTCACTAATGATCATAGTGGTAAAATTTAGGTTTACATGTTAAAGGAAAATAAAGAAGTTTTAAGCGATTCAAATAATTTAAGAATTTGATTGAAAGACAAAGTAGTTATAAGATTAAATATTTAAAAATAGATAGGGATAGTAAATAATGTCAAATAAATTTAAAATTTTTTATAGAAATAATAAAATTTTACATCAATTCACTATGTCATTCATACCTTAACAAAATGGTATCTAAGAAAGAAAAACTATTACTATACTTAATATAGTCTAATGCACCTTACAAGAAAGAAGAATTTCTAAAGGATTTTTGGGAGACATTGTTGCTTATGTAGTTTATTTGCTTAATAGGTTTCGATAAGATGAATTGACAATATTATACCAAAAGAAGTATGGAGCTTACAGAAACTTAGAATTGATCATTTGAGAATTTTTGGAAGTGTTGCTTGGGGAGATGTCATGCACACCTCAATAAAATGGTGTCTCAAAAAGAAAAATTAGAACTATACTTAATATGGCTCGATGCATATTAAAGTAAAGAAGAATTCTTAAAAAAATTTGGGGAGATGTTGTTGTTTATACAGTTTATTTGCTTAATAGGTTTCTGACAAGACGAATTGATAATGTTACACTACGTATGAAGCTTACAGAAATCAAGAGCCAATTATTTGAGAATTTTCACTAATGTTACATTTGCTAAAATACTAAAAGAAAATAGAACAAAACTTGAAGATAAAAGTCAAAAATACATATTGTTAGGTTATGTTGAGAATTCCAGTGGTTACAAACTCTACGATCCTATCTCAAATAAATTTGTAATGTCAAAAGATGTTGCATTTGATGAACAACAAATTTGAGACTAAAATTATAATGAGCAGCATAAGAAAGCAACAACTTTAGAAGAAGATGATATAATGCAAGCAAGATCGAAGAGTCTTTACTTAAATCATCACCTAGATCGATTAGGTCAAATGATTCAAAAAGTCAAATTATAGGAGGACAAGAATGAATCAATAGCTATATGATGTGACTCGAATGATTGATATTAACAATGATGAGCTTTATTTATTTTATCGTTTTATAGGATATGATCAATTAACCTTCGAGTAAGCTTATAGAGAAGAAAAATATTGATAAGCTATGAATGAGAAAAATTACGCTATTAATAAAAATGATACATGGGAGTTGACTACACTTCTAAAGACCACCAATCGATCGGTGTTAAGTGGATCTTCAAAACACAAAGAAATGCACAAGCGAAGTGGAGAAATACAAAGTCTGATTGGTTGTAAAGGAATACAAACAATAATATGGGATCGACTGTGAAATATTCACACCAGTTGCTCGATTAGAGATAAAAATGTTACTTATCTCTCTAGCAACTCAAATGAAATAAAAAAATTTATAACTGGATGTCGAATCAGTATTTATCTCTCTATAAATAGGCATATGAAATATGACACCAAGTTGACTAAGGTGAATGCAAATCAATTAATCCAACTTATTATAAAAGTCTAATTGGATGTTTAAGATATTTGATATGCATTCGACCTGATATACTGTTTGGAGTTGGTTTTATAGTAGATACATGGAAGCTCCTAGAACATCTCATTTAAATGTCGCTAAAAGAATTTTACGATATATTAAAGGGACAACTATGACATATTCTATTCATCATCTAAAAGGTTGGAGTTCATTATATATAATGACAGTGATTGCGCCGGAAGCTACGATGATCAGAAAAGTATAATTGGATTTGTATTTTATTTGGTGAAGCTACATTCATATGGTCTTAAAAAAATATAATATATCATCACTCTATCGAGTTGTAAAGTAGAATATACAACATCTTCTTATGTTTGTCACGCAATTTGACTAAGAAAATTACTCCAAGAATTTCATATGTCATAAGAGAAGTCATAAGTCATAAAAAGTTGAAATAAGAGAAGTCATAAGTCATAGATTATTTTTGAAGCTATAAAAAGTCATAAAAAGTTGAAATAAGAAAAGTCGTAAGAGAATTTCATATGTCATAAGAGAAGTCATATGTCATAAGTTGAAATAGAGTTTTTGAAGCTATAAAAAGTTTTTAAATGAAACATAGATTATTTTATCTTGTCTTACTCTTTTTATTAGTAACTCCTAGTATTACTAGTAAATCTTAGTATATATATATATATATATATACTAAGATTCGAAAAATTAAAAAGGTTGGAGCTCATTATATATAATGACAATGATTGCGTCGGAAGCTACGATGATAAGAAAAGTATAATTGGATTTATATTTTATTTGGTGAAGCTACATTCACATGGTCTTAAAAAAATATAATATATCATCACTCTATCGAGTTGTGAAGCAGAATATATAACATCTTCTTATGTTTGCCATACAGTTTGAGTAAGAAAACTACTCCAAGAATTTCATATGTCGTAGGAGAATTCAATCAAAATTTATGTTAATAGCAAATCAGTTATTGTCTTAGTCAAGAATTTAGTCTATCATGAAAAATCAAAACATATCGACACAAGATTTCATTTTATAAGAGACCATATCAAAAACAAAGAAGTTGAGTTACTTCATGTTAAAACAAGTGAACGAGTAGTCGATATACTTATAATTTTTTAAAAATTTAAAATATTTCAATAACTTGGAAAGAAACTTGATAAAAGAACAGCTTTAAAGAGGGAGAATGTTAGAATTAAACTTGTCAAAAAAAATTATAAAGATGTTCATATGTGAAATATATTAAAGACCTATAGAAGAATAAATCAAATTAACTATTGATTCTTAAAAGAGTTTATTGTTTATTGGAAAAGAGTGGTTCATTCTAAATATAATGTATAACTATATAAACCTGGGTCATGAAATAGAGTTTTTGAAGCTATAAAAAGTTTTTAAATGAAACATAGATTATTTTATCTTGTCTTACTCTTTTTATTAATATGCTAGCTTATATATATATATATATATATATATATATACTAAGATTCGAAAAATTAAAAAGGTTACTAGTAATGCGTCTGCCGGGAATCGAACCCGGATCTATTGCTTGGAAGGCAATTATCCTAACCTTTGGACTACAGACGCTGTTTTGATATCGGCGAACAAAGAATTTATTTAACCTTTATACGAGAATCTTGCTACTTATAATCTGTTAGCTGACATGGCTTCTAGCAGTTGTTATCGGATCGGATTCGGATGAGATAGTCCGGGACCGATGGGCTAAAAGAAAGCTCCGTTTAACACCCTCCACCAGATCGTTCTTAGATTTCATATAAAACTACATGGCAACACATGATTGGGTCGTGGAGAGGGCCCCCACACCACCTCAAAGAACTGGAACATAGAAAGTTGATCTCGGTCATATCATGCGTGCTCGAATTTATCCTCCAATTAGTAGAAAGAGCAAAAGGAAGATGCGATTCATGTTGATAGAACCTGATAAGGTGTAGATCATCATTGAAGTAGATGGGTGATTGTTACACATATATACATGTAAAATGGTTCAGAAGATGCAACTGAAGCACCATACACCTTCTCACTAAGCCTGGCTTTCCAAAATCCTGCTGTAAACAACAGGCATCCCATCAAGTCAAAGCAATTTTGTTGAAGCCCTTACCCATCGTCCATTGATCCAGTCCTGGTGAAGCCGCAGGTCGTTGTGCCCAAACTCCATCTCTTCCTTCCATGGCCTGAAGTAGACCATGTACCTACGACCATCAAGAACCTTAGATATCACCCCTACCCACCAGCCGTCGTTGTGGGATGCATCCACTTCTTCCAGGTTCCTAAACTCGCCATCTACAGGAATCTCAGGAGGAGTGGGCCTGATGTGTAGAGCATCCACAGTTTCGGTCAGAAGCTGGGTTTCGTCGTCCGTCTTCAGATTATGATACTGCACAAGGAACTTGTTCTTTCCCATTGATTCGAGTACGGTTGCTGTGAACCAAGCACCTAAAAATCCTTCCTCGTCACTGCTAACCTCCACCATTTTTCCTCTTCCGATGTCCATCATCACCATGTTCTGAAAATTTCAGTTAAACAAGTCAACTGAGGATACATGTTAGGGCCTTGAATATCGCAAAACTTGGCTGAACCAGAAAAATGCATGCTTGAATTTTGTATGAAAATTGTACAGATAAATTTAGCATATGATCCTTCAACTCATATTGGCAAAATGTGAATAACATCAGAAATGCTGGTACTGATTATTTATGTCCATTAATATAAAATCATGTTAGTATTCTGCTTAGTAAACCCACCACGAGACATGTCATCGTAATAGAATCCAACAATTATATCACGTCAGACTTTGTAGATGACAGACACTGCATGATATGTGAATTTTGTTAAACTAGACATAATATGGATGGTAAGAGGAGTTTATCATAATTATCTTTATTTTCTAAATACTTTAGGGTTTCTTTATGAAGCTCCAGCACTGCTCACTGCTCACAGCTCAACTAAAAGTCAAATACTAAATACTTGCACAACCAGTTCAAAACATAATGAGCCATATAGACAAAATGGGAAACTAATGAAAGCTCAACAACAGAAAGAAACTAACTTACACTAAATTAAATAAGTACATTACAGGATTTCGGTAACAAAACAAAGAGAAATGGTTAAGTGATGATTACTCCTTCCAAATCAAACAAAAAAAGACCTTCTGCAACTCTGTGTCCATTTGCAATTTAAATATCATATGTTTGTAGTAGATGGACTGCATGGCAGCTCTGCTTAGACAATAAAAAAATGATGCTTTGATGTTTTTCTTACATCCATCATTAATTTTACAGTGACAAATATGGATCTCCTGGCCACAAGTTGTGGTTTCTTTCTGTCTATCCTTGTAGAAGCTCTGAGAAAGCTCATGCAGGATTTCTAACAAGCCTAAAAAGAAAGAGGCAAATTAATCCACAAGAAAGAGGCAAATTAATCAATGCCAAGGAATATCAATACACACCGCCTTACCCCTACATGCAGAGAGTGTCTCTATACCTCAAACTATGATTATCCAACTTGCAAAGAAGCAATCTCACCATGGTGCCAAGTTTTGCCCTTTAGTTTCTAACTACCCGATGTTCTAGGACAGAGAAGAAACAAGAAAAACCGCAGCCCCCCCTTTGGCTTTGGAGCTATACTAAATACCTCTCCAATAAATGAAAATTCAGTTATTACTCTACTTTATAAATCACTTCTGTCGCAACCCCTTTACTGCATTTTGATACAAATCCACCATTTATGACACCAGGATCAACCCATTTGGAAGAAAACCCCTGTTTCAACAGTCTCAAATTGGAAAAATCAAATAAGCAGCTATATATGGTTCTCTTCTTGTATCCCTAATGAGTTGGGTACCCAATTATGATGCTTGAATTTATCTAAGACCATGAGAGCATAATCACAATAGATTTTTATTGTTAGATAAAGTTTTCTGTTCATTTGACAATTCATTCTATTCATCTTGTAAACAGGTAGACCTTATTAGTCATAGAATATACTGTAGAAAACCTAAAAAATTAACGAAGTAGTTTTTTATTTATTTACAGATAAATCTTCACAAGCACTTCTAATAGATATTATAGTCATAGCTACCTATCAATCAAGTGAAATAATTTACTTTCCCTTTAAAAAGAAAACAAATTGCCATGCTTTTCCTCATTAAAAGGATGAATTAAACCTATATTGCCTCTAAATAGAACTTTCAGGTCAATATGATTTTCACATGTTCTAGTATCATCTGTAATTCTCCGTTTAGAATTTGCTTACATGTCTCTTATCATTCATTGTCTTTGTGAAGTAGCTATATATGTTCACAGAGAGCAAGCATTTATAAACAGCTAAAGGTAACCAGTACCTTTGAATGAGACCATTGTGCCTGTAACCCTCACTATCAGACATAATTATCTATTGTAATATTAATTGTTAGAATTCCTTTTGCTTGAAATAAACAGGATCATATTAGGAAAGCAGACAAATTGACTGTACTAACAAACTCCCTCTCCTTTTAATTTGACTCTAAAGCAAGGTTTGCGATTTCGAATCGTACCGCCCGTAGATATGTACCGGTTCGCCCCTGAACCAATACGCGGACTGCCCACTACTAGGTGGTCCGCTCAATATAGTGGCCTGGCTATGGCAAGGCTAAGGGAGAAGTGTCGAAGAAGGAAGAAGGAGAGGGCGTTTGAAGAAGAGGGAGAATCAGGAGAACCTCGATGCGAAGTTGTTTCCATGCCCTTTCTCAATCCCGATTCAGCACCGCCCTCCCTCGACGATCTCGATCCAGAAGGTAACAACAAGGAGGATCTGGAGGCGCGGGGATCAGGGGAGGCGGTAGCTATAGCAACGGAAGAGACAGTCTCCTTCATCACCTCGTTTATGACTCTGCGGCCTTCTTCTTCATCGCGTTCTTCGTCGAAAGCCGAAGACGTCTGCAGCCTTCAACGTCTTCACCACCTTCTTCATCGAATGCTGCAAACGAGGCGACGAGGAGAAGAGGGGGTGACAACGCCGAGGCTACAATTGATTTTTAATATTTTTTAATATTGTTCTTATATTTATATATATTGATTTTTATATTTTTTATTTAAAAAATATATATATTTTTACATTAATTATTTTTTTTTTGGGCATACCGCTTGGTACAACATACCATACCGAGTAAAACTCGATACACCGGTACAGTACGAAATTTTAAACCTTGCTCTGAGGTTTAACAGCTAACTTTTCTGATTTTGGAACATTCTCCTTGTAAGAACTTAGAACCTCCAAACTTCCAAAGTCCCAGAAAAATCACCACCCTGTCTCTTTTTCATTCGTCCTTGCTATTTGGTGGTCCAATGCAGCAAAAGAACATGCTTTGTACTAACAAGACGAGAACATATGGTGTAGTAGTGGTCCATCAACGTTGTATGATGATTTGTAAAGGATTATATCAAGTAAAAATTAAAACATTGATCGTTGTTTATTAAGGCCTAGCAGATAAGTTGTTTATTTCACATAATTAGCTCCAACAAGTGAACTATATTTTAAACCTAGCCTTATTTATCAACTCATGCCATGAATCAGCAGTCTAGAACCATCAAATTATGATACAGTGGTTCTCCATTATTTCAAACAAAAGATCTGAAATGCCTATAAAGCTAGCTTCAAATCTTTGATCACTAGATGTCCATAGACATGGAAGCTTGATTCATAGAGAGATATGATACATGGTACAAAGTGGTGGGTGAAGGTTCCTTGACTTATAATGACATTGATCGCAAAGTGAGATCAACTATATGCAATGGCCTAAGACCAAATTGGATCCTAAGTGAAGACACCTGAAGTATATCTATGAAGTCCAAACTTAATAGAAAAAAGAATTATCTAGTCACAAAAGGTGTCACTGAAACTCCCACTGAACAATCCATCTTCATATGAAGGTCCATATCAAAAGAATAAAACAGCAGGAGCGATTCCTGACCACTCAAGGAATCAATTGCTATACAAAGCCAACATGTGTATTTTTAACTGCTCAGATTGGAAACGAGAAATGTGACTTGATGTACAACCTACTACCGTATGACTGTCATAATAAGCAACAATATAACAACATCAAGAACAACAAGCTGCAGAGATATTAGAATTCATACAACACTAATTGATTAGCAAAACATGGGAACAAGGTATTACATGTTTTCACTTGCAAATTTGCATTTAAGGGTTAAATCAAAGAAAAAGCAATATGCATCATCAGATATTTCTCTGGAAAGTTTCACAAGCATAAATAACTTAATATGATCCCAAATCGATAGCGGAATGGAGCACAAAAGGAAAAGCCAAATTTAAAGTTGTTTAAGAAAAAATGTCCTACCTGAGGTTTCTGGGTCCATTGCCCATCAACTAAATCATATCGGAGCCTCAGCATTGTGTGACAAAATTCTCTTTCCTTATCCCAATGTATGGACTTCACTGTGTACCATGACTCGGCATTGATCTTAGTTATCACCCCAGGCCACCATCCATTTTCATAGAATGCTTCAACCCCATCTAGCTGATCAAATTTGACAATGGGAACATGGAGCACGCAAGGCCTGACATGCTGTGAATCAACAATTTCCCTGATCAATTCTTTACCATCATCTTTTCTTAAGTTTATGTATTCCACCAAGAAACAATTGTTCCAAATTGTCTTGACAACAACAGCAGAGAACCAAGCAACAGGAACACTTTCTTTGAGACGAGCAACTTCTACTTGAGTTCCTATACCATATGGTGTCCTTGGCACTCCCTGCAATAAAAAACCCACAAGAGTTTGGCTCTTCTCAAAAAGCACAATTTCTTACCTCTGGAAGTCCAATAATCCAAGAATATCATTATCTGTGCTCTAAAAGTAAAGCTAAAGAAGGGGAAAGGAGAGGAGACCATAAATTTGATCGGAACATTTCAATGGACCTAAGAACAAGCACGATCTGAAGGAAGCAGAAACAAACAGGGGGGTGGTAAGGGAAAAGATATCCAAGTACCAGCGATTTGGGAAGAACCCATTCCCCGTCGACCCACTCGAAATGAGCCCTAAGCTCATCGGCCCCGAACTCCATCTCCTCCCGGCTGGGCGGGAAGCAGATGCGGTACCTCCTCTGGCGCCCCGTGGGCACCGCCGACACCACCCCGACCCACCACGCGTCGTTGTGGAAGGCGTCGACGAGCTGGTGGAGCGCGACCCACCGTCCGACGCCGGGCAAACGGCGCGGCGGGCGGGGGCGGACGTGCCGGGCGTCGACGATCTCCCGGAGGCGGCGGGATTCGTCGGCGTCGTCCACGATCGCGTCGTAGTCGACGGTGTAGCGTCCGAGCTTGGGCATGGAGCGGACCACCCGACCCTCGAAGTAGGCGCCGCGGAAACCGTCCTCGTCGGAGCTCACCTCCACTTCGTCCCCCGTCCTGAACCCCTCCGGCGGCGCCATCGCTGCCACCGCCAGAATTTCCCCCAACCCGGGTCTAGGGTTTCAGATTTTGGCGGGAAATGGAGGTGCGAATGACCGAGGGTTGCGTCGGGAAGAAGAAAAGGGATGTTGGTATCTGGTCACCGGAGGTGAGTTCACGCTTTCACTTCCCGTGACATTCAATGGGGGCAGAAGCGATCGGAATTTTGCTCAAATTATCCTCGCTTAATCATATATAAACCCCTATTAATAAATATAATATCATTTTTTAAGTCTCACAAAAATAGATAGTATTAATTTTATTGCCCGTTTTACCTGTAAAAGAACAGAGAAGGCAAAGAAGAGAAGCGAGGAGCAGAGCTCAGTGTCATCTCCTGCGTCACTCCGATTGCCTGTTTCATGAAGCCTCAGTAATCAAACGAGCCCTGTCACTGTTAACAGCATCATCACAGTGTATCATCTCCAATAATTTTCGGCCAACACATGATAGAACACGTAATGAGAAGCTATGGATTAAGTTGACTTGTGAAGGTTTTCTTCTTTTTTGTTGGTGCCATCATGTCCAAAAGCTTATACCCTTCCTCTCTCGTTGTTGCTGCAAATCTTCAAAAGGCAATCATGTCTGTGTCGTCTCTTTCCGTAGCGCATGCCCACTCCTGGCCCTCCTTCCATTGCACTCCACTTGGGTGATTCATGCAGCAGCACCAGGGCCACTCTAATTGCCATATCGCCCTATCTGGAACAGATGTTGCCCCCACCACCTCGGAGGCCAAAGCTGAGGAGCACTGCGGAGGTTGCTGCCGCCACCATGCGCGCCTCTTCCAGCTCTGCCTATGACGACCATGAAGGCTCGCTGTCGCCGCACCACTACCTCCCGCTCCTTCGGGCGAGGCCGACCAGGTCCTTCAGTCTCCTGAAGGTCGTCATGGACATGGTCCGATCCCTCGTCCCCAGAATCCACTCCTTGATCTCCCCCACGTGCCAGTGGCCGGCGTTGCCCGTCGTGCGACCTCGAGCGACGCTGTCTTCGGGCCGCGGGAGAGTGGTAGCCGGCACGTTCTTCGGCCACAAGAAGGGCCGCGTCAGCTTCGCGGTGCAAAGCGAGTCGCAGTCGGAGCCGGTCCTGCTGGTTGAGCTGGCCATGCTGACGTGCGACCTCGTGAAGGAGATGGCTTCCGGGATGGTGAGGATCCTCCTCGAGTGCGACCGAGTCGCCTCACCTTCTCCCGCTGCCGCCACCAGCAAGAGCATCAAGAAGCACAGTCCACTGTGGGATGAGCCCTTGTGGACGATGTACTGCAACGGCCACCGGTGCGGCTACGCCGTCTCGCGCCGCTGCACCAAGATAGACCTCCACGTGCTGAGCATGGTCCAACCTGTGTCGGTGGGCGCCGGGGTACTCCCTCCGCCTCCGCCTCCGTCTCCTCCTCTTCTACCAGCCAAGCTGTGTGATGGATCAGGTGGAGCAGCAGCCGGGTCTGAGGTTATGTACATGAGAGCCAAGTTCGAGCGAGTCGTCGGAAGCAAAGATTCCGAAGCGTTCTACTTGATCAATCCAGACTCACTGAGGCACAAGGGGAGCGACATCAGTGGCGGCCCTGAGCTCTGCGTCTTCCTCCTCAGGATGTAGAGAACAGTCTCATTAGTCGTTGGTGTCTGCTCATCAAACCCAGTCAAACGAGAAATCCACGTACTTGGTCAAAGATATATATATATATATGGCAAAACTATGCAAAAGTACATCAAGTAATACATGATTTTAAATAAGAACACGTTATGTCGACACTGTTTTATAATGTCAAGTTGTGTGATTCTCATTATAAATAAATATCAAGGTGGGACAGCTCAAATTAATATTTCATCGTGATAATATTTGAAGTCAAAATGATAGATATATACTTTGTGACTTGTGGCAATGGGATCAAAGCATCCTTCAACCTACAAATGGCAGGAAAATTTAGTTAGTATTAGATTAGCTTTCTTCTTATTTTTATTGACTTGGACTATCTAAGCATTCATCCCTCTTAGAGCTCCCAGTTAACTCAAATCCGACACAAAGATACAATCCCAGCTCAAGTCAAATCTTGTAAATCTTGTAGGCGTTGCCTTTGAATACTCGTGCATAAATTGTAGGGATATTCTTGATTTCGTTCTGTTAAGTAAAAATTTTAGTTTTATTTTTTAAAGTAATATTTATTTATATAAGTTTTTAAGAAGAAATTGTCGTTCAGTATTTATTTTTAATATGATCCTCTATCATGCACCTAAGCTTTCATAAAGATGTTAATTTTAGAATGATTTAATCGAAATGCCCTAAGAGCTAGTGGCGTTGTGAGAAAATCGACTAATTAAAGAAACTCATAATTGATATTTTATAACTTGATATCTAATAAAGCAAAAGTCTTTGGTAATATAGTTCATGCGAGAGTAGAACATAGTATAGATAGATAATACCAATATTATTACAATATATTATTGGAGTGGATTGGGAGGTGATGTCAAATTCGTGTAATAGTTTGGTGACCTAATTGAGTTCTATAGTGATGATAGTGATGGCTCGATATTTACTTTTAGTGGTAGATCTTGTGTTTTATTTCTTGAAACTTCGATTAATTATGATTGCTCCAAGAAAAATAAGATGGGCTAACATAGATATTCTATTATTAGTATTGTTTACTTAATTCACATCGATAAAGGTACGAAAATGAAAGGACAAGTATTTATGAAGAAGTCTATGTTTGAATGTTCCTCTAAGATATCGTAGAAAATGTTTTAGTACTGACCAATATGCATGGAAAGTTGATACATGAATTATGATAATTTATTGATTGTAAATAAAATATTTGAACATGTAGAGAATAAATATTATAAGAAATCAAATACTTATAAATATTGTATCAGATCCATAATAGGCTATCATCATATAATTTAAGTGACTCAACGAGACGAGTGGGGTGGTAACTCCTTTAGTATCTACATGTTCTTTTTTTAAGGAGATCCTGAATGTACTTTTTTTAAAATAAAAAAAATCTAAAAGATACAAACATTACTTATACTCATAAAATAGAATTGTTTGTCCAATCAATGAAGGTACGAAAATGAAAGGATAAATATTCATAAAGAAGTGTATAATTGAAAGTATCTTTAAAATATCATAGAAAATGTTTTGATAATGACCAATGCACATGGAGGGTCGATGCATAATTTGTTGATTACAAATAAAATATTTAAATATATAAGAGATAAATACTATAAGAAACTAAATATTTGTCGAGAAGAGTGGGACGGTAATACGTTCTTTTATTATCATTATTTACACTCTCAAAAAATAGATAAGGTTTAATTTTTTTTATCGAGAATCGATTTATCAATTATTTAATGAATTATTTGGTCTCCATAGAATTATTGTCTGTGATGATATTATCATCCACATAAACTAGTAGACATATAGTATAGTTCTTTTATTATCATAGGAATAAAGAGCTATGGGATTTAGAATTAACAAAGCTGACTGATAGTAAAAATGAATCAAGTTCAGTCCATTAGGCTCTCAAAGCTTGGCGAAGTTTATAAATAGCTTTTCATAGTTTATAATATATGGTTTGAATATTGAGTATGGATAAAGTTAAAAGGTTGCTATGTAAATAAATATTCAATTAAGATCTCTTACAAGAAAGTATTGATAATATCTAGTTAACATACATGTTAGTTTTGAGTGATAGACATCCTTAAGATAAGTCAGAATTATCGTCGGTTTAACAACTAGATTAAATATCTTTATAAATTAACACTTGATTATTGGTGAAACTTTTTAGCTACTAAACATGGTTTGTATCTAGTAAGATCCTAAACATACTTTGTATCTAGCAATGGATCAATCATGATTATGTTTAGTTTAGAAGATCTACTTATACCCAATGATATTTTATATGGTGAAATGGTACAAGAATCTATGTGATATTATGAAGTAGGGTATTGTATTCCTCACATATGGTTTTATGCCAATGTAAAGATTTTTCGACTTGGGTGATGCTTATGAGTTCAGAAGAGTCGGGTGAAAAGTTTATGGTACTGTAGAGATTAAGGATTTAGTGTTGTTTGAATATGTTATTTTTTGAACATATTATCATATGATGTTTAGGCACGATGCTATTATTAAGTTGTATTGATAATATAAGAATTAGTGATGAGTTAGTAATACATATCTGATCAGGATGATACACTTCAAGTTAGTGGAGAGATGGATGGAGAAGTCATAGAAGGGTTGAGGTGTTGCTAAATTGATGTAATAATTGAATACAGGTCTAGCGAAGAATTGTTAGTTGATATTGTTAGAGGTGCACTTGAGGGGGTTTGAAGTGTACTCATACGAACCCAATGATAGATGATTATTATAATAGTTTGTATTGTTAAACGAGCAAGATTATGAAAGGGAAAATGAGTCTCAATAAATATGACGTGATACAAAGACCTTATGAGTTTGAAGATTAAAGTACTGAAAAGCATGGTATTCAATACCCAATGAAGATACACAACCTTAATCTTGATATTAACTTATATGAAGCATACGAGTATAGCTAGGGATAACATAAACAACTTTTGAGTTTTTGAATGTTCAGGGTTTTATAAAATATTCTTTCAAATAGTGACTTGTATTATAGAATTAAGTGAGTATACAATTAATAAGATAGGCTGTAGTTTAAATGACTATTGACTAAAAGATCAGTTATATAAAGACTTAGTATAGGAGGGCGAGACTAGTTTCAATTATTTGTTGATGCTTTCATTCGACAAAGCCAACTAGTTGAAGTATGTGTATGCGATAGTGAGTTAAGATATTGTATAACACATGATATAAAGTAAGTTGTTAGAGTTTAGTATTCACCTCCTCTATCAAAATAAATTATTTTAATGGTAGACTAAAAGAAGTTCTCAACCACCTTTCTAAAATGAGTAAGGAGTATGTGATATCATATTTGTGTTTGAGAGGGTAGAGCCATGTATCTTTAGTGAGGTAATTTATGAAAATAATATAAAATTTAAAATTATCGAAGAAAGTGATTGGAATATGGCCTCAGATATTAGTATAAATAATTTCAAGTGGTTTGGAATAGAATATAAAAGATATTTCAAAAGATAGTATGTGACTTTTATTACTAAAGCAAGCATCATGATAAATAGTAGTTTTACTT